TTAGCGTCGGGCTGCAGCAGTATAGCTCATCACTTATGTCTGACGCTGCGTTGCTTCGGAAACCTAAAGTAATTGCCGTACTTCTTCGCGGACAACATTGGCAATCGAATCCACTTGGGGCTGCAATGAAGACAACAGCTTTCGTAGCTCTATCGCATTTTCCACGTATGTCATGGGATCAAGGGCGTGAAAAACTGCGCTGTCTTGCATCGATCGGCGATTGCATTGACGGGTGCGCATTATCAGCATCTTCTCGACTGTCTTAGCCTTCAAAACAAACTTTCGAACTGTTTTTGGTGCGTTCCGCACAAGTCCCACAAACAGTTTTTGCTTGACCACTTGCTTCAAGAACCGGAGCTTCTTTTCTTCAGCCATGGCAGGGTCGACATGATGAAACAGCGGGGACATATCTTCGACAAAGATGGTCACATTTTCACCGGTGTCTCCAACAAGGTGGCGGCCCTTTCTTTTCAAACGATGCTCCCGAACGTGTCCATAAATGTGCCGCAGAAGAGGTCCCATGTTTTACACTGAACGATGGCACGTGCCCACCTTTCGTACATCATACGGTCTGCAAACATTATCTAATACTTTGCCGCGCTTACTGAACAAACTGGAAGCAAGAAACATAGATATGACGCGTACTTCCAAAAAGGAAGTGCGTAGATTGATAGCGTCATCCTGGTAAGGTTTCTTTTTTTTTTACGTCGCCCATTTTGTTATCGCCAAGCGTCTATCGATTCTGCCTTGCGGACCTTCGTTACAGACATTCTTTTTACTCCTTCTCTTTGCTACTCAAATTTTTCGCGCCTTCAACAACAAACATTACTTTTTTTCCTGTATGTACCATTTTAATGCATTATGCATCCAATTTTTCGGGCCTTCAATTACTAGCCGTTGGTTTTTCTATGTGTAACGTTTTAGTGCATATGCATCTCAGTGTGGGTGATACCCTGATTGGTGAAACCATTTTTTTTGAAGCGCTTATTCCTGTTCTGTTGTGTGCAGTAGCTCATATGTATACTTTTTATTATCAGTCTTTCTTTTACCGGTGCATCTTTTTTTTGTAAATTGACACTATTTGCACTTTTGTATGTTTCAGTATTGCCTCGTCGTTTCTCTTTTTCTTGTTTGTAGCGTTCCCATGTTTTTCGAATACAATATCGTTTCTTTGTTTAGTTGTTAGCGTGCATATATTTTTTACTTGCATATTTTTGTTATCGCAATAGAATTGCGATACTTCGGTGTGTTGTGTTTATTACTGTATATTTCTACAGCATGCATATCTGCCGTCTGCTGCTGACGTTTGAATTGGGCTGACGGGCCTGTCAAGCTGCTTGTATGCAGCTTTTGTCGTCAGCCTTTCAATGTATTCACGATAAATAAATAAAGAATACCTCACCTCAAAAAAAAAAAAGTGCAGACTCTTGATTCTGTGGGGGTGCTGATACCCCTCGTAAAGATGTTTGCGCCTCGTGGCGCACGTGTCTCGCGCAAAAGACTTATTTCGGAGTCACAACTATTGAGCGGTAGGTGGCGTTGTGTTTGTGAGCGTTGGTCACTACTATCGTCATTATGGTATTGTCCCGCCCAGCCGTGGTGGTCTAGTGGCTAAGTTACTCGGCTGCTGACCAGCAGGTCGCGGGATGCAATCCTGGCAGCGGCGGCTGCACTTCCGATGGAGGCGGAAATGTTGAAGGCCCGTGTGCTCAGATTTGGGTGCATGTTAGAGAACCCCAGGTAGTCAAAATTTCCGGAGCCTTCCACTACGTCGTCTCTCATAATCATATGGTGGTTTTTTGGACGTTAAACCCCACATATCAATCATGGTGTAGCGATGGCGGCGACGCCAGGCGACAAGCGTTGTTGGTGAAATAAACCATGGTCTCTGTTGGCGTGGAGCGGTAGGGCGGACGGTTGCCTCCAGCGGTGGGTCTGCCATGGACGGCACCGCGGGCCGTCTGCGGTGGGCCCACGTGGTGAGTCAGGCGTTAGTGACACTACCTTCTTTGTCATGTTGTTGAGTGTTGTCTAATAGTATTGTATAAGGATGTCTTAGCGTGTTGATCACGATTGATGTTATAATGATACGGCTGACGGTATCTTCGATCAAAAGTAGTTAAATAAATATGTGTGCTTGGTTTGGTTTCATCCAACCGTGTCTATTGTGTCCGTTCTATCCAAGAGCGTGGCGTGACTCTCGCCATATCAGATCCCACAATTCTCAAACCAGGTCCTTGCTGCATCTTCCAGGCAGAAGTAGGCGTGATGCAGCTTCTCTTTCATTTCCCAGTGGTTCAGGGTGGCCACTCAATTGTAGGTCTCCAACCAGGTATCCTGGTGTTCAAATGACGATACGCAGAGGGTCAGTGGCTCCTTTGGCTGCAGCACCACTACCGCTGCAAGAGACGTTGCGGCTGTCATTGTGCCCCTAGTCGCCGTGGCTTTTGACTTGTCCGCTAGGGGTTCATATTTAGGGGTTTGTCCTTTCAGTCTTTGGCTGACTCGACTGTCGCTGACGGTGTCGATGTCTTCTCTGCGACGGGGACTGGGTTCATAGCTTGAAGGGGCCGTTCGATACATGGACCGGAAAGCACTTCCATCAGATGTCACGGGGTCGTAACAGCGGCGAACGGAGCAAACTGTAGGTTGGAGATCAAACTGTTTATTTGGCCGAAATTGTGGCCAGTCAACGAAAGTTCAGATTACAGCGATACACACTGGCACTGATAGCGGTGAATAGACAGTTGGCCGTCGATCAACTGACAAACGGCGAAGCGCGTCGGCATTTATACTTGTGTCGTCGAATATTCCAGCGTTATCGCTGGCGGCAACGCAAGTTCCAGAATAATCTGTGATGTTCACATTGCATGCGTAGTTTTAACAAAATGGTCTTCTACAGTCACAAAGCTTCTCGAA